AACAGGGGGAGAACAGCCATTTTCTCCAGGTGTGACCCAAAATGGAACCCTGCCTTTCCCACCTCACTCTACTGTTGAGAGCTGCTTTCAATCCTTACAGACAACTCCTCATGGAGATCAGACATCAGACAGGCCAAACTCACCTTACTGGACTTACCAGCCACAGGTCCATCCATCCTGCCACACGGAGGGTCTCATGCTGCACCCGTAATGACACAGGGTCCAGATGCCATTGCCCTGACATCAATCACATGCACAACACATAAACTTTCAGTTTTACCAGGGGTGTCATTTTTATTGTTTCATCCATCACACTGAACTCTTCACTCTGCAGGCAGTCTCTCCCTCTAAGTATTTCTTGGGAGTTATGGAGCCCGAGGACAGAATTGAAGCTTTGGAAGTATCATAAAGGTTATTCCCATTGACACCCACCACAATCTTATTGTCTTTCTAGCTAAATAGTAATGGTCACTTGAAAAGTTGCTGCTACTGAGAGTCTTGTGATGGCTGCACCTCCTGTCAGAAAAACACTCAAAGTGAATCTGAAATCAAAGCAGACAAAGCTGAAGTTCTGCTTATGAAGGTCCTGCCCAGTCACAGCAGCATTGTCTCCTTTGATTTCAAATTCACTTTGAAAGCCTCCAAAGAGAAGGTGCAGCTCAATCTTGGAAACAGAAGATGCAAAATGGGAACGTCACCCGTTTACTCCTCACGTGGCTGGTGCTAACAGGTGGAGGATGCTTAACAAAAACCATAACAAGCCCCCAGTGCCAATGGGAATTATCTACCCACATTATCCTTTGGTGCCTGTGTTTCCCAGCATGGGCGTGCAGGGCATTTTTTTATTCCAGAAACCACCGGGCGCAAACAGAGTGGCTTGTTCCAGCTGAACCAGGACTTTCTGCATGAGCTGACATTTTGGAAAGTAGTTTCCTTCTTGGAGCTGAGATGGGATTTTTCTGGCTTTAGTAAAGTGGGAAATTGTCCACAGCCCTTAACTTCCACTCCTAGCATATTTTCACTAAGTAATTTGCAAAACAGTCCAGAAAATGCTTGGTCAGAGCAACATGTTTTTATAGCCACTTTATTTGAAAGAGCAGAATATTTCTGGTAATGTAGTTGGAATGACAGTTCCCTAATTTTTCACTACGCCATTTGCTGCTCTTGCACACATTTATACCTTTGGATTTAGAGATAAAATTGAGCAGCACTGCACCATGAGTGGTTTGAATCCACAGTCAGGAGGCACGAACAACCTTACCCTCTCCAGAGTATGGAGGACCCAATAGACCTATTGGAAAGATAAGAAAGGACATCATTGATGGGGACTGAAGCTCCAGTCGCCTCCTTCCTTCACCGTGCTACTTCTTTCCCGATGACACTTAGCTTGGAGCTGGGAAGGGCAAAGCTGGCAGACTGGAAGATTGCCTAATGTGCTGTGACTGACATGTAATCGAATATTCAACCACTGGTCCTCATGTCGGCAGTAAAGTGAATATGACACCCTTCAGCTTAGTTGTGATCACGCCTCGTTCTTCTGCAAACAGTTTCATAAAGGTGCAGCCTGGCTTCCTTATGAGGCGGATGTGTGAGATGGGAGAGCAGTCACGGAGGTCACCTGCTGCCGGGAATGTTCCGAGGACCTGCGAGGGACTGACCTTTAAATGCCAAGCACACCCCCGCGCCTTGCGCCGAGGTGGGACCCGACGGACACTCTGCTTTCACAGCCACCATCGCGCTCAATGACCTGGACGAGCCACCTGTTCGACTTCAGAGGAGTCTTTATCTCTCCCAGCCTTTTCCAGATCTGCAAGTGCTGAGAAAAAAAAAGACACGCACATGAAAAAAAAAAAAAGAAAAAAAGAACATTTGGGGGCGAGAAACCCCAAGGGAAGGAACTCAGATGTTCGGGTCAGGCCTTAGAAAAGGTATCAATTCTTCTTTCCACTTAGCACAGCCTGCTGCCTGCCCAGGCTCTTTGTCTCTGCCCTCTTCCCAGTACAGAAAGCATTTCCCTTTTAAATGACATCTGAGCGCTGACATGCTGGAGGCACCCATCCTGCATCATCTCTGGCAGATGGTGCAGCTGGCCACGATTTTCGGGATTGCTTAAATAAAACCGCAGTGCCATATCAAGAAATGTAGAGAAAACGCTCAACAGTGCTTAAGATGTTTAAACATCACAAACTGTCTGAGACTTCGGATCGCTGTACTGCGCATTTTTGGTGATGTAACTGTTCTTATCGATGGTAATAGTGAAATCTCCATCATGATTCACTTCTTTTTCTTCCAGGGAGGCAGAGACAAGTCCTACGATATTCCTGTTCTGACCCAGTATCAGATCCTTTCACCTTGATATGTTAGGGAGAAGTTTGGACAGTTGTAAGAATACAAGTCAAATGCTTGAGGTTTTTGGAGAAGGGAGCTCCATTTCTGCCAGTGTCAGATCTGGGATGTCCCAATGCCATCAGATGAGAAGCTGACCCACTCCCAGAGCCCACAAAGTCAGTAGCATCTCTGCACAGCTTTCACAGACATCCAAGCAATTTTAGTGCAAGCATCAATGTTCAAGCCAACATAAATGCTGGTTTTCCTTTTCCCCTATGGTTTCGCTTGCTTTGAGCTAATTAGCCTGATGGCCATTTCCCTACCCCCTGGAGATACCATGTTTAGTGGTATATGTATTTTGAGAAAACAGCTTTTTAAGTGAAAATTGTCATTGTCATATCCAGGAGTCATTTAGCCTGTTCAAGCTCTACAATGTCTTTGGTTTTTTCTACCAGTAGTTAAAGTTAGATGTGATACTGGAAAATAACATTAGGAAACTTTAAGTCATAACTGCTGAAATCTGGGGTTGTGAGAGTGAAAAAAGGGGATTTAATTCTAGCTTAGTGGGGCTTCTTTGAAAATTTAAGCCATGGTACATCCCAAAGTACATGAGACAACCTTGCAGCATTTATGAAGTTACCACAACAGAGCCATTACCTGTAGGGGTCAAAGGAGACCTCTCACATCTGTACTACAGTAAAGCTACTGAATCTAGTGATATCTGGGAATCTGCCTAAAACTTACTGCCTTACTCAGCAAGGGAGGCACTTGGGACGATGCAAACACTCCTGAAACAAATGAAATGCCTGGATTTCATTCTCCAAACCCTCCTCAGTGTTATCTTGCCTCAGGAAAGAGTGCCTGTCACACCAAAGCAGAGCAGCTTGCAAAGATATTCAGAAGGCTCAATATGAAGCCAATCCCTGAGAAGCTGAGATGAATTCCTGTGTAATTGCAGGCAGGTATTTGTTTATTTCCTGGTCCTATTGACCGGCAAATCTCTTGGCCTTTCAGAGCACCATCACCCAGGGCATCACACCGGCATCCTCCTCGCGTTGCCTTTCCCCGTAGTCCCAAAACTAGTTGGGAAAGCAGCAGGAAAAGGGCATAGAGCCCACTCCAGAGCTCCTCACACATCTCTCCATGAAGGGGATGCTGTGAGCACGGGCAGCTGGCTGCCTTCCACGGGGACCCCGCACGCGGCTCCACCGCACCCGGGCTCCTCCGGCCGCAGATGTTGGCTGTTATTGCTCAGGTCTCCCATATCACTGGGCCACCTGTACAACATATTTAACATACAGCAGTTATTCTGTTGCTGTTTGCACTGAAATAATCTTGGCAGGAAATGGTAGTTAAACCCGAGCATAATTTTTTATGCCGTGTGTAATGCAAAATCACCTCTTTGGATAAGTAATATGCTCTCTTTGCCTTCTTTGTGGAATACAGTATTTCTTGTCCCATCACAAATTGGCCAGAATTGGTATTTAATGTCTGAATCTCTCCATTCCAGGCCCAGATTGCAATTCCTGGAAAAAAAGGGCACTTTTACAAACTCTGGGTTTTAGATGTGGGATACTGTTGGCCCCTTCTCAAACACTGAGATGGTAAAAGGCAGCCCCATCACAGAGTTAGGTTTGAATGGAGGCCTCAGATTCAAACACAGATCCAGGATTTGGATGTGCTTTTTGGATTTAATCCCATTCCCAGCCATATCCATTTGATATAGCAGAGCAGGCTATCAAGCTGGTTGAAAAAACACTTGGATCATCTATTGCCTTTCTTTTTAAGTGAATTTCAAATTTTCTTCTCCCAAACTTAGAGAGAGGTGACAAGACTGAATATTACAAGAACATCATTTTCTGTTGCTGCTGTTCAAGGGATACAGTAGTTTTTTGCCCTCTGTTTGCTTTAAAAATTAAGTTGCTAATGATAATGTTCCTCTCATAGATGATCTTGTACTTTTTAATGATACCCATAGTTTTCCTCCACATAAATGACTAAATCCTCACAGAAATCTCTGTCTTGATTAGCACTCCTGCTAGTAAAATTTCACATACTAAATCAGTACCAGCTGTAGCAAGAAAGAATGAAAAAGGCAAGTGTAAATGTTCCATATGCCCTACCAAATTGGCATCTGTGTCAGTAACCCTGTGTTTTTTTAAACAATTGTATACATACATTCTCAGAAGTGTTTTGCTCACAGGATTCTGCAAGCAAAATTTCCTCTGTTGGTGCATCACTGAAATGTCACATCTAAAAAAACCCCAGCAAGGAGTTTTGCTGCTTCTCCTTCCTACACCCAACCCCCGGAGCGCAATTAAGGCGAGTTACCTCGGGTTTACTGCACCTTTATTTTGACGTCTGCTCCCCGTAACCTGACACTGGGGCACTTCTGCAGAGCTGCTCCACGTTTAGCGCTCGGTTATTAGCAGCACCACCGAAAGCCAAAGCTACTACGGCACTGTAATTATTTCCAAGCTGAACTCAGAAACAAGGACTCGGGTTCCAGCTCAGCGGCTGGGGAATGCTGCGCTGGGAAGCGTTCCGAGGAGCCGACGGCTCCTCTTTCCCGTGACTCACGAGGGATGATGATGCAGGAGGGAGCTCGTCCCGGGGACAGCCCAGAGCTCTGACCCAGAATGGTCAGTGACTCAGCTTCATCGTGCAAAATCACGATTTGGGTGCAGGGCAGGCGATGGTTACAGCCTCTTGGACCGGCCTTGTGGTCATAAACTGGCCGAGCACCACCTGCTCCATTGTTTTGCTGCGTAGCAGCAGAAAGCCTGGAAGACAACGCAATAAATGTGAGCTCAAAACAACTTGAAAGTAACCAACTATGTCCTCAGCGAAAACACTTTTAAGTCACCTTATGCCTATTCTGCAACTGGAATTCAATCAGTATGGCAGAGTGGACTTTCAAAGTTAAACAAACATCAACTAGTGCCCCAAATGGGTAGCAAATGCCGCAGCCTCCTGTGGAAAGACGATACGGAGCCAGACTGTCCGCTGGTGTAAGTCAACCTAACTTCACTGGACTTCAGTGGAGCTGTGCTGATCAACACCAGCTGACTGTCTGATCTACTGCAAACCCCAAAGCCAGCCACCGTCCTTCCCTGACATGGGATGATACAAAGTAAACAGGAAGAATTAAGAAGCCATTAAGGGCATTAATCAGATGTTCCTGGGAATAATAAAATATTTCTGCCACTTCCAAAAGTCAGAAAGACCCTCTCTCTTCACATTCTTGGCCATGGCAAAGTGGTGACACTTGTTTTGCTTTTTTCCAGTGCAATGTGGAGTGTATATTTGCACATCATGTCATGCCTGTCCATGGTAATCAGAAGCCATTATTTCCAAAAGCTCAAAATTCCCTCCTGGACTCTGGTATGCCAAGTTTTAGTTCACAGTGATTTCTTTTCTTTTTTTTCTTTTTTTTTTTTCATGGTTGATTTATAATTGCTGCAAACAGAAGTCCATAATGGAAATGCTGACAAAACCATAACTACAGTGTCACATTAACGCTACTATTGCTGCCTCTCTGTCAGACTTTCCTTTAACCCTATGAGCCAAGACTTGTATCGAGTATCAACAAAAGCCCAGAATACACAGGGCATAGTAGACAGAGTGGAGAACCGGAGACAAAACTCCTGGAATGAAATCCTCGCCTCAGTGAAATCAAAGGGATTTTATCCCTGGTGTCTAGTCTCGCTTCTGCCAGACACTTGCTGTGTAATTTGGACAAATTTATCCTCTGCAAAATGGACAGGAAAATATGTTCTGCACTTACCTTACAAGTGTTGCAGCATGATTAGCAAATCATGCTATTAAAGGAAGCAGGGGAAGGCTGAGGATAAATATAAACACTACCTACAAGTTACTTACCAAAAAAACCCAGGCAAATATTATTCTAGGAATCCTCTATGTATGGGAGATGGTAGGATCTTTACAGCTCTGCCCGCATGTATTTACACAGAGACATCAGTATAATATCTCCTTGCAACACCCTCATTATTTGGGTCTTGTCTCATGTTTGTGATTTTCAATTTTATTCCTGGCTGAGGTCTCATTCTTGACATTTTTATGTAGGTTTTGTATGCAATAATATACATACATTAGATGGTGTCAAAACCATCAATCCAAGTTACTATTTTTAGCAGAGTGCAGAGGATGGGACAGAGACATAAGTGACAATTAAAGAGAATATATTCAGAGCTGTCATCAGCAAATATTTTTTTCTCTTGCCAGGAATCCTAAGTGTGTAGAAGGGCCTCCTAGGCGAAGTTTTTAAGGCAAAACAGTCGGGTCATTCAAAAAAAACCCAAACAAGTAAATGACATCATCAGGAGGCTGGGCTGCTCCAAGGTTCCCGAGAGCTGAGTTTGGGAGAAAACTCTTATTTTCTCCCTCAAATTGCTGATCTGCCTCTTTGCTTCTGTACTACCCGTGCACAGCGCCTGCAGATGTATATAATTTACAGAGCTTTCCTCATCAAGGGGATTAGGCAGCCCTCTTTCAATATGTATAAGAAGTACAAACACACACTTACCCACTACGTTTTACGCCTGCCTGCAACAAACAGCTGAACAGATTGTGATGAAATTCAGACATTGACAATCTGACAAAAAACTTCTTTTTTCCCTTAAAATCTGGCTTCCAGAAGTTTTGCAAATCTAAATATTTTATTTGAATACCGCGAGGGCCCCGATCTTATGGAAAGCCTACGAAGCAAACATGGAGATATATGTAGTTAAGGAGGGAAAAAAAAAAACAGCACAGACACATACACAAAATGCATCTATTTGGTGCAACTTGCCAATTTTCACAATGACTTGGGTGTGTTTTCTCTCCCTGGCTCCCGAGACTGTAACTAGACTCCTCTAATAAGCACTTTTTGCCCACCAGCGTGTCAACGGTGCTTTAACAGTAGTTTCAGTGTCAAATTGCCCTTTCCTCAGCAGGGATTGTTAAGCCTTTCTGTATTATACTTCCAAGACTCTCATGAGCTGGAGTTGGGAGATATAATATTTTCTTTGAAGTTTGCATTTCACAACACACTGGGATGCAAACAAGCTCCAGTTTCTCAGTAGTCAAACAATTCTGGCACACAGGGACTAGGACTAAATATTGTACCAAATTTTCTAATTACGTCTTTGTGATATTTACTACATGATGTTAGGTGAAAGCAGATTCTAATCAATATAAAACCCCTTGTCTAAACAGGACATCTGGGCTTTGAAATATTCTGTTTGTTGTCTCGAAATTACCCTGTAGCAAGCCACTGTAACACTATAATATCTTAGTCATGGAAAACTTTGGAGTATTTCTGATAAACTTATCATAAACAGATGAGTGCTTTCTCTCTTACAGTATTAAGGTGATGTAAAAAGTGAAGATAAAAGTCAGCTGTATGCATAAAATCACAGAGACTTATGCCAACAAAATGCTGTGTTTACAAGTTTAAAAGCTCCAAAGTCTGAAAAGGCAAAAAATTAGGATTCTTAAAGTAACACTAACTCAGCCACATGGCACATCCTGGCAAGCACATTTAGCAAAATAAACATTAGCATATTCATATACACATTTCTAGAGCGACGTATTTTTAATGTGGCCAAACTAATTCAACAATGGGAATCTCAACTTTTCTCATTTTATGGCCAGATTCTCAGCTGGCAGAGACATATTATTTCAACAAACCGACATCATCGACAGCAGCGAAGCAGCAGAGCCGCTTCCTTCTGAGCAGGCAAGTGCCAGAGTCTGATGCACTTACGATGACAAGTCTCTCTTTCTGACTTTTATTATCAATATTCATACAACAAGATAGACAGATGTGACTAAGAAGCAGCTCCTCAGCTAGAATCCTGAGCCTTCCAGTACAAAAGCATTCATGAGAGTCACTCTTTCGCCTGTATTCTGTCACGTAAGAGAATCGGAAGGAATCCAGCCTCCCTGCTAGGAGGATTTCACAGCACAAGACGTGGACAGTTGTAACTCTTTGGACCAGAATTTTGGATGATGCTGATTTTTACTGATTCTCTCAGCTTTATCTGACAGTTTCTTGATTTGTTCTTCCGACAACGACAAACTGCACTGGAGGGAACATCTCCCCACTCACCACAGGCATGTCAGCGCAGGATCCGCTCCCACATGCAAACCTTCCCACAGAGAAAGTTTTCCATGCTGAGGACATTCTCTGTGGATAACAAGGCAGATCCAGACTCCCAAAGCAGCTGCCTGTGCAAAGCTGGCTTATCCCATCACCCCCGAATTGCCCTCGGTGCAGAGGATCTCCGGATGGCGCCGGGCCAACGACACCAGCCTTCTGCCATCCCAACCTCCCATCACAGGCACCCTCCCATCATGCCAGGGCTAGCCAGCCTGGGATAAGGGGATCTAAAAATGACACAAAGCCCCCTTTGCCCCACCTTAATATGACCTACACTAAATCCAGCTTGGCTGGGGCTGAGGATCAAGGCCCTTAGACACTCTTAACTTAATGCTCCAGGTAGGAATATAACTCCCCCCCACCAGCCCCTGTTTATTTTTATTTTTCTAGTGCTCAAGGTCCTGGTCAGGACTACAGCCCTGCCGAGTGACACAGTCTATAAATATGGAAAAACCTCAAAAATTCTCAGTTTAAGAAAAGGTTGCATGAAGAGAAGCCAGTGAGAGGCAATTGCATGCGAATCATTTGTATATATTATGTGCAAATAGTTTGTTGTTTGATTATTATTTCTTTTTTTTTTTGCAATGGATCTTGAACCTCCCCCAGCTGGACTTGGAGGCATCCGGAGCAAGTTGGTTTATTGTTAACAGGCTTCATAGAGACACGCGAGGAATTAATCCTCAGATCACCTCTTTTCCACTTTGCAAGTCACAAAAAAAAAACCCCAAACAGAAAAGCTTAGCTCTCTGTACCATTTCAAACAGTAAATGTTGCCGTTTGAGAGTTAGATATGGAAGGAAAAAAATAAAAAGAAAACTGGAAAGCACTTCACACCTTTGAGCTCCCTAGCCTGTTAACAAACTGGAGAGAGATTGGCAAAGAGGTTCAAAAGTTAGTAGGGGCGACAGACAGAAGAACAGACAGTGCAATTGCTTCATTTCCATAAGTGCTCATGCCAAAAAAAAAATCAGATTTGATTAATAATTAAAAAACAAACAAACAAAAAAACCCATTATCTTGAGAATCAGGAATAAGTCTGGCCGGGAAGTTCAGAAAGGCCTAGACATATAAAAACAAAGTGTTACAGGCCAAATCCTGAGTTTGAGGCTTTGTTACAGCCATTCCACATGAGTTGGGTGGTTCCTATCCGACAGGGGTGATGTTTTGGTGCAGTGGGGGGGACACCCACCTTCCCCCCGGGACCCTCAGCCAGGAGCACCCAGGCCACAGGGTGGGAATGGCCATCTGAGAGCCCCGGGCCAATTACCCAGTAACACCCCCAAGCTCTGAAGATCTAAAGATCCCCTGAATAATCCTATTCAGGGAGAAGAATTATAACCATGAAGGGCAAAAACGGGGGGAAATGGGATCCTTCCTCAGGCCCCTGGCAGACACGGAGAGGACAATGGGGAAATAAGAGCTAACACAAAAGTTTCCTCGAGTACGTCCTCGGCCACTGTGGTTTCAGATGAGAATTTCCAGAGGCAGGAACTAAAAGAATATTATGATTTTCTTTGGGGGATTAATTACTTTGCCGCTTGTTACCTTTTGTTAGAGGCATGACACCCCGTAACCTTGTTGCACAAGGCACCAGATGTCCATTTAAATATCACTTTTGAGCAAAGAAAGGTTTGTTTTCCCATTTGGGCCCAGAAGTTATTTTCTTTCTGCTAAAAACCCCATGAATCTTAAGGTGAGCAGACACCAAAATGTGCTACAAATGATACAGACGGGTGCTGAGTTCTCCGGGTGAAAATAAATAAATAAAGGCAGTCCTTCCTCCTGCTCGCCTTTGCTGGGGACGCGTATCCCCTTACAAATAAAAAAAGTATTAAGAACATGTTATGAAAAATAACAAAGAATAGCAGAGAAATCAAAAAGTGAGTGGCACTTCAGATGGAGTTTAGCAAATTAAGTCATTGACCTGAAGAGGAGATTAATACCAAACAAGGTGCCCCTTCTTCTGAAGTAATGAATATTCTTCAAACAGCAAGGGAGCACTGACTGCTGTTTGATGCTGATGACATTGAAAATTTAGGAGAACAGAAATTCCATCATTTTTCATTTGTATGCAAATGCGCCTGTTCCAGAAATTAACCCCTGAACCCCATGTCAGTTTTCATCTGGAGGAATTCTCTTCGCTAGCATCACACAGCGCAGCCTTGCCGCTATCCTGGGGTCACTGGGGCTTCCCCACACACAACAACACAAAAACCTAAAACAAAACAACCAAAAAAAAAAACCTCACCAAAAAAACCCCCCAAAAAAACAAAAAAGGGAAGAAAGTAGGGCGGGGGAAATTGGCCAAATCATGCCAGGCTTTGTTTCCCCCCATTAATGGGGTATAAAGGAGCAATAGAAGCCAAAGCCTGTTGTAAAATGCACATCTCTAATGCCTGGCTCTGGGTCCTGGCATCATTGTCATGCAAAAGGCAGCTTTACCTCTTTAGGCAGAGCAGCACCCACTAATCACTTCCACTGGTGTTAAGGTGAACCGCGGGCCAATATACAACCCATATTACTCTTCCTTTCAGCTCGGGCTTCCACTGTTAAAAAGTTCTTTTGTCACTTAGCACCTTAGACAAATGCGACTATCTGCATCTGAAGGGGAAAGAGATGATGGAGGTTTTTTAATTGATGTGGATTTAATTATGCTAATTCAGACAGCTGTAAAGCCTTTTCAGTAGAGCTGCATAATGGGACCAGCAAATACAGGTGTCCTTCACTGCAGGCGCTTAATGTTTAACCTCAGTCGTTTTGTAAGGAAGGGAAAATGCAAAGTAATGGTTAACCAGCAGAAAGCTCTATTTCTTGAGGACCTAAAGAGGACACTTCACTTTGATTCTTCCTACAATCCCATTCAGGGGCTGCAGAAATCCACACACGCTGAGCAGCGCACAAATACTTTTCATTGCAGTGATGAGGATGAAGCTGAGGCAGAAACAAGAGGGTTTGTGTCTGCCACAGACTTCAGCATCCTGCACAGGGTGTCCTTTGCTTAATTTAGGCTATCTCCAAACAAATGCTTGATTTAAGACAGCCCTTTCTTGTCATTTTTTTTAATCCTTTGTATCTGACCACCTACAGCATCAGCAATGATTAAAACTAGTGAGCAAAATATCTTCATTGGGTGTTTTCTTGATATCTTGCTCAGACTGCTCTGAGGCTGCTATGCCTCTACCCTTCCCAAAGTCCCCCATCCCACATCCTACATCCTTTCTCTAGGCTGGGGCTGACACCTCCAGTGACCATCTGGAGATTCATTTCCCAGGGCGTGAGTTTGGCCAGTTCGTGTCCCCAAAGTGGTCACACATCATGTAACATCAGTGCTGATCAACGGGAAGAGAGTAAATACTTGGCCAAAGGTGAGGAAGTGACCACTGAGCTTTTTTAAAATAGAATGAATCACAGCCCAGGGGTGCCTGTGGGTATTGGAACGAGATGATTTTTAAGGTCCCTTCCAACCCAAACCATTTTATGATTCTGTGATTCTTTGGTTGCCAGAGGCATCCTCAGTGACCAGGTACCTTGTGTCACCTCAAAGCTCTCCTGCACAGTAGCACTGTCTTATTTGTATGACCATCATTTTTTTTTAATAGAAATTGCTATTTATTAAACACTATTGGACTAGGACCAAAATCTTTGGCATACAAGTTCTGTTAGACTTCACTGAAGCAATTTCAGGTGTTACTGGCTGAACTACACATCACCCATCGCTGATGCAGCAAGCACATTCTGCTCAGAAAGGTGGACTTTGGTCCAGTGCTTTCCTCCCAGAACTTTTTTTAAGCAGTGCTCTCAAAGTGGTGAAAATGCTGGAAATACGCACTACATCATCAGATGGAGTTGATTTGTGGAAGGCAGGAGAGAAAAGATTAAATCCAGGTGTACAAAACTATCTGCTGCTACATCTTCTTTAGGTCTCCTGAGGCAGCAAGAACAGAGATAATGGCAAAAGTGTTTTTCCATAACAGGACATAGTGTGTTGTCCCACTCCAGGGTGGGAGCTGCTCTGCATACCTGTGGCTGTCTCCATCAGGGTGGCACCTGGATGCTGCACTACCTCTATTCATCCCTACGGTGCAGTAGAAATGGGCTTTTATCCCATTCTACACTGAGCTTGTATGATTTGCCCAAGGTCATTGAGAGCAGACGGAAATTCAGATTTTGACTTTTTTTCCGTTGTTTCATCCCCAATCAGCCTCCAGTTGCACCCCCCCCCCTTTCCCCACCTTTTCCCTCCCTGTCTGCATTTCACCTTCTTAGCTCCAGGCACCAACTATGGCAATCCTCTGTATTTTGGCAACAGCTCCTGTTCTGGGAAATGTTAACGACGGGCACCAAGGGGTTAGCAAAGTCCTCTACTTCAACCAAATTACCCAGCTTCCAAGTCTGCAAATTCTGCTGCCTAGATACAGATAATTCTCCCCAAACACTAAGTCCCCTTGTCCCCTCAGCTCCTCCTCAGGAACAGCCAACTGCAAAGCTCTAGATAGCTATTATATTCACATGCATATATTATAAGCATTAGCTTGACGAGCTTGCCCATGACAGCGTCAGTCAGACTTCACTTCATCCTCCTCCTGTGGTCCAAAGCTGGATCCAGCACCCAGGAGCCCACGCTGGGCTGGCTGAAGGGCCAAATGCCAGCTAATCTGGAAGATATCCCTTCCAACAACCACACCTGACTTCCTGGCTCACTTCTCCCAAGGTCTCCTCGGTTGTTCGGGCAGCTGGGACACCAACAACGAGTTTGGGGTTGGGTCAAGTTTTCCTCTTGGCTGCTTTGAGCTCTTTGATGCCATTTTCCTTGACTCACCCTTAATTACAGTGAATGGTCTCTATTACATTTTCAAATAACCTGATATCCATACGAAAGGCTTTGGGGTAGGTTTTATTTCAAGTGTTATCCATCCTTACGACTGCCTGATGCAGAAATGTAAGAATTGGTCCTAGAGCCAACCAAATCCTGGTGCTTAGCTCAGCAGTATATCAAATTTCTTCTGCATACCCAGGATGAAAATGCACAGGCTCTTTAGCAGGGACAGCCAACATACAACATACCAATGCAAGCACTCTGCTCTGTATTTTAAAAGATTTTAGGAATTTGTGGGAATTCACTTTAACGCTGGAGAGTAAAAGATCTGAAGAAATGCTCTTGCAAAAAAAAAAATACAAATGGGTGCTTTGATAACTATAAAGTTGCTTTCTTGGACCAAGAGCCCACATTAGGAACCAAATAAAATATTTAAAAGCAAAAATCTTGCAAAGTTTCCTCCTATGAAAGGGAAAATATGGTTATGCTGTACCAGACCTTTTGCAAAATCTGTTAAGGAGTTGCCACGAAACAAGAAGGATTCAACAAAGAGCTTGACAATTTCTGTTAAAGTTGCATTTATATATATTTCTAGGAACTGTTGGTTTGATTTTTCTTTAAAACCAAGTGTCAGGTTGCATTTCAGACCACATATAAATATAATTTTGCTCTCACATAATGCTTTTGTATCTGGTGTAATTCCATTTACTGCAGTGGTGTTACCTTTCAGTTACCCTAATGGGAACAAGAGCAGAATTACACTGATAAAAAAAGCTGCTTGCAGAAAGAAATACAGAAAGAAAGAACACAGGAATAAATACTTCCTCTGGCTTATTTAATATATTTGCTTGTCCAAATTGTAGCAAAGATATTTATTTCAAGAAATAGTGTTTGATCAGCAAGAGTAAACACTGATATGTCTAAAACTCCAACAAGCAGTTTTTACAATTCATCAAACAACACCTAAGATTGTTTAGTTGGGCAACTAAAAGAAACAACAAAAGGTTTCAGGTCATATAATTATACCCTTCTGTTTCCCAACTTTCTTAGAAATCTCTGTCTAAAAATAAGTCCGGCATCCGGATGCCTTGAACAATTGGCTTATTTTGAAAGATATAAAAACTCTTATTACAGCCTTAGCCATTTTAAGGTCTTGGTGCTGACACAGAGTAATAGTGCTTAGCACTCCTATATACTGCTTTCCATCTCCAAAGCACTTTACAAACATTAGCTAATTAATCCTCACAACACCCCTGTGAGGTATGTAGGTAAGTATTGTCATCCAATTAGGTAAGTATTAAGCACTGTTATCCCACCAGATAAGTATTAAGGTCTCCCATTTTACTGGGGATCCTGAGGACAACAGGTTAAGTTACTTACCAAAGGTCACAGGGGGAGTCAGTAGAATAAAACTTGGGATGCTTTGGTTTCTTGGTGGCTATTCAGGCATCCGGGCAGCATCCGGTGCTGCTCCCTCCACAAAGGCACCCATGGCCATCCACATGGAAATTAGGGTTTTCTATAAGCCCCCAAGACACAGAGCCATGGGTACAGCATTGGGGAAATCAAGCACCTGAGAAGCTTCCCCTCTTTGGGGTGGGCAAAGATGACATTGCCTAACAAAGTTCTCAGGAAGTTTTCAAGAATAAAGGTCTTGGATTGGTGTGCTTTCCTGTTGGCACACACGGACGAGCATTCTAAAGTATCATCAGGCCTTGCCATTCACAAGCTCCCTCTTCCCCTCCCAATTTACCTTTCTTTCCCACTGTCTTATAAAGATGGACTCATTAAAGTCTCACATCTCATCTGTGCCACAAAGATATAAACCTTTCAATTGTGGTTTGCATCTTCTGAACATAAAAAAGTCCATTTTGAAGCCCCAGCTCAGAGGCTTCCAGGTTCGTAGGTAGGCTCGAATCCCCAAATACACTTGATGAGACAAATCCCTTTTCAGAGGATCTAGAGAACAGGACCAGCCCAGCACATTTTGGGTTTAATCTAGTCTTAACAGATGTCAAGCTGGTGAAATAACATCATCTGTCCCCCAGAGACGATGCCAGTGTTCACATCTGCTTCTAATTCCACTTCACTGCTAGAGAAAAAGCGAAAGCTCCTACTGTTGCTCCACTTAAAGCTGTGTTTGCAAGTTAAAAGAGCCCTGACCAAAGGCCCAAAGGTTGGACTCGATGATCTTGGAGGTCTTTTCCAACCTAAATGATTCTGTGATTGACTTGGAATCCAGTGAGTTTTGTGAAGTTATTGAACTCTAGACTTGTCTAAGATAACCTCCAAAAAAGCAAAACCCACCCCAAGCAAGCCTGCAGAAGCTGAAATCCCAGGCAGGGTATATTGCAGGTTCTGCCCAAAGACCTAGCATGTGCTGAGACATGAAGGACAGTCCTGACTGTCCTCTGCTCAGCAATTTGGCACTTGACTGGTGGCAATGTCATCCAGCTCTTCCTCTGAATGCAGGGGCCAGCACAGCGATGCTCCAGCTCGAGCTGGAGCTGAGGCAAGTCCCAAGTGTTAAAAAAAAAAAAAAATAAAAGACCTTGACTAGATTTCAAGTGAGCTGATTTATGTTTTCAAGTGGAAGGCAGTTTTAGCCGAAGTAAACTACACAGTTTTTCGATCATTCAAAATTCATGGCAGTTTGATCCCACAGGACGTCAAACAAACACAAATGATTTGCCAGGAATCCCTACAAATTGAAATAACCAAACCTCGTGCAGTTCCAGCAAAAGTCTTGAACAACTTTTAAGGAAGGGAAAAAAAAAAGGACTAAAATAGAGAACTTTTATTTTATTCATCTACACAAAAACAATTCCAATGCAATACATATCCGGATCAAATGCACACAAAGGAGCAGCCCAAACATCTAAGATCTTGAAACTCAAAAACCCTCCAACCCACAAACCAATAGCAAATAGACAAATGGAAATAAGAGTCATGAAAACAGAAGGTGGATTTAGATTCTGTTGCATTCTTTGGAGTGGTTTTATTACAACATCAAATTAAAATTAAAAAAAGGCTAACACAAAGTGCAGGTAACAGGCATATCAGTTACAGTCATGAGAAAGAAAATAGACAACCAAAACTGTGACAAGAATGTGCTTAGTTATTATATTCTTTCAAGCTTGGTCTGCCAGCATTTTTTCCTTTTTTTTTTTTATCTATGCACTGGTCATCAGTGTCTGCCAAAAGACTTTTTTGTGGATTTCTGCAATCCCATTCCTCCAAAAATGAAGGAAATGATGTTTCTCCACAACCACAAGACCCAGCTGTAGGTTTTATACCATGACTTGTAGCCATAAACTAACACGGTGACAGGCCACGCCCCTGCCTAAATAACCCAGACCAAGCCAGTACCGAATTTTCAGTGTGGGTTATGCAAAAGGAAAGGATTAAAAAATGAAAAGAGCATTCACTTCATGTTGCTCCTTTAAAACATTATCACATAGCTCCTTTTTTTTTCCCCCTAACCTGACCTTTTTTTTCCCAACGGTTTATCTATAACTTAATATAACTAATTCTTTTGAAATAATGTTCACAGTTAGCATAATTGGTGTTATATAGTTCTAATGTACATTACAGAATATTCTGTCACTAGACACTAAATTGAAATTTTAAAGAAAATGATAGAAATAGCTGTAAGGGAAAAAGTACCCTTTTAAATCTAATTTGCTATGCACCGCAGTAGGGTAATGGATGCAATGAAAGTTCCTTTATTGAGTTCCCATGTCCAAAAGGTATTTAGGTAGCAAAGGATGTTAAGCAGACCCCCTGTGCTCCTCCTTTAAGTAAAGATAGCAGGAAATAAGGTATATAGGTTTGTGTCCTCCTGATTTTTATTTCCTCAGGAGTACAACTTATGCAAAGGGCACCTTAGGCTACTTGGAGGATCACAAAGGGTGCCCTCGACCCCCTCACTGTCTGCATGAATAGAAGCATCTAAAGGATGGCTGAAGCCATACAGCGAGTTAAATCCTTCAGGTGGGTCTTTTCAAATTCCAATAGTGAGGAGTTACTGGAGAATTGGTAAGGATTTCACTAGGCCCCAGCAGGTTTGAGATCAAAAGCCCTGGTTAAATAAAAGCCTGTTGGGAAATCTTAAAACCTCTTTGTAATGTAACTTAAAAAAGTTAATACAAAGAGCCCTTAGACTGAAGCCTGTAACAGCATGAACAAAGAGTATATCAAAACTGATTCCATTAAGGGAAGGCAGACAAATAAATTCATTTAATTTAAAGCGAAATCAGATATATTACTCTGCTAAAAACTAAAAAGCATACCAGGAAAAAAAAAACAAACAGATTTTACAATACACATGCACATAGAGCTGTGCATAATAGAGATAGATATATATAAAATTTATTTATAAATATCTCTCAGAACAGAGAACAGAACATTATATACACACGTATATGTTTAAGCATCAATTTATCCAATATGTGCATGTGTGTGTGTGTATAATTCTAATATATACATATTTTTATCATTTATGAGGCCTCATGCTGGGCTCTCAAATCTGCAGTTAGATATATCTATATATGCATCCAGAAAAACGCAGCTGAAAGAGCCCCTACATTCAAACTGACACAAGACATTTTTCAACCCAATTAATTAAAAAAGATGGGTGCTCATCAGTCAGCTGGCACAGGATTTTTCTCCATCATCTTGCCAAAGTGTCACAGTGTTACTTGCGCAGCATGTTGGAAACAGAAAATCTGGGACTAGGATTTCGGTATCATTTATTAGCTGACCTCTTTCTGAGCAGCTCTTACACTTTTAACTCGTTGGGGGTCCTGCACCGGAGGCAGGGGGGTAGGAAAGACATGGAATTACATATATTGGGAAAGTCCTTTAAGATCTTCCCTCTCCTCGACAATGTTGGAGACGTCGTGTGGGGAATCAGTGGCACGTACACCAGGGATTGTGCACCATGTGCACAAAGCAAGCTGTCTCCTGAGCATCCTACAAACATGGGATGGCTGTGTCGCTGTGGGACCACGACTGGGGGTCCCTCACTTCACACCAGAGCCATGTCACTCGGGTGCAGGATGCTCTGGACCTCTTGGGAGGAAGGAGAAAGACGCCCTGTTGCCCCATGGCAATTCACTAAGAATTTTCCTCCCTCCGCCCTCCAAGAAAAAAAAGGAGGATCTCAATTTTGCGGCTTCATGAGGCTTTTCATTATTATTGTGATGGGAGAGATGTGGATATCTCCTTAACTAGAAAGCATATTTCACTGTTTAAGAAATAACACTCCTCTCACAGACTCCTGCACAGGCTGTGCAGCTGGAAGAGGGAGATGTGTTGTACAAACCAGGTGAACACCTGCAAACATCAGTGTCAATGTTCCACAGGATTTTTTAAAAAAGCTTTTCTCCTTATAATTAAAATCTGACATTTCAGTTCAGCAATGCTAATCCTGAGCTCATTCAGGTTGCATATAGTGAGGGAATGGGTTCCACCCTCATGCTCTTAAACCCCAGTTCATGCTACCAACCCATGAAACACTGCCCCTACAGCAGGAACAAATCAGTCTGCCCCTCTAGTCTTTAAGAACATTTTTCTGGAGATAAGAAATCAGCAACATATCTCACATATGGTGCCTTTCATCCCAGCAAGCAGCACTGGTTTCACAACCTACACTAATGGCAATAATTTTATTTCATTATATTTAACCCCCTAAAATGCACATCAAATCAAAACCCTTTAACTAAACGTCTGGTTATCATTTTAACAACGCCATTCCTGGTGATTTTGGGTGGATTCCACCAAATTAGTGCAGGGACCACTATTTATCAATAGACCACCACTCTGTGCACCAAATCACTGTGGTGTTTGCCAAAGAATTGCCATTTGCAAAAGAAACCACAGGAAAATGGCAAAATGAAGAATTCCAGATGAATATGGGACGATCAGGGAAACCCAGGTGAAAGGTATTGGTATTTGGGGACCTCGGTCTCAGTGTTGCGACTCACGTCCTTGCCCTGGCAACAGGTATCTAATAATCACAGGAGATAAATGTCACTTCTGACTCCTTGTTTGAGAGAAAACCTCTCCGAAAACACTGTATCTAATAATATCAAATTTTGTGGTGGCTTCTGCATGCCTGGCAATTTTTAGACCAGTAGAGGATGAGGTTTTCTGGTTCAAACAGGAATTAATTGAGGGAAGTCATATGGCTTGTGTTATACACGTGACACCAGATGATCCAAATAGTCCTTTCTTGGCCTTATAATCTACAAATAACCTTGCAGAGGTACTGCTCTCCTGTGGATTAGTGGCAAACCAATGCTCCTCTTGCTTGGATGAGTTTTCTGATCTAAATACCATCCAGACCTGCATGGCCTACAGGATTTGACTGGATCACGGTCTCAGACAGAGCCATGGCCAATTAATGCCAGACGTGAGATAAACTGGGGTAGGACATGCTCTGCTTCAGGTGCTGTGTGATTCTGGAGTGTCATGAGTAGCTACGTAACGAGCCAGGTCTGAAGTAAAATAATTTTGCTATAAAGACATATATATATTATTTTACACTTGCTATCTCTACACTACCTTGGACTGTAAGGCCCAGACTGTCAGACACCATGGAGCTCTTTGGCCCTGAATCAATCAGCTTCATCTGCAAGAGCAGGGTATAATTGTGGCCATTCCGTAATCCATAAAAATAATAAGATTCCCGAATGATATGTGTAACAGGACAACCTGTTCCTATATGGAAAACAGAGCATATGGGGTCTTGTCTATCTTGCTTGGATTACGAGGCAGAGGAAATACCTGGCTGAGCAGTGCTCAGGAATTATCAGGTGGATGATATTACAGAGGCAAGCCGGGTCTTTATTTATTTGCTTTATATGGATGCCTCCGAGTTCAGGTTGTTGGAGTTACATAATGCTAAGCTTCCTCCCGACCGCTCCACAGCCCTGATTGCTCCCAGTCCTTTGGTGGCATCCATCAGAGCAGTTTTGCTGGGAAATCCGTGCCACAGAAAGCCAGGCTGCATTTCCCCAAACCAGAGGTGAGCTCCAATTCAGTCACCACTCCAAAGTCATCCAGAAATGCCTCTTAAATGCAACTATCCCTATTCCTGTCCCTATCTCTCAGCAGGCCTCGTTTTACCGCCAAGGATAATTTTTGATGTACAAGGAAATGTGTCATTTATTAAGTCAACAACCACTTCCTTGATCATCTACAAAAATTTCTTCTGAGGTTTCCCTTTCAAGTACTGATCTTATTCAGATCTGCAGGCTGAGACTGTAGCAAAAGGTGAAAAAACTTCCAGTCATTACATTGATTAATCAGCTGCTGAAATTTGGCTTTCCAGCGTGACACCTCCATTCTCTGAATGTGTGGCCCTACTGCAATGCAATCAATTTGTCTGTGCAGGCTCCAAAACCCCAGAGCCACACGATGCAAAAAGACAATCTTCTGCCCTCTTTGACCACAATAAGCAACATTACTGGAATCACCGCTCCCGTCCAAGTGTAGCATGACCCCATATTTGTAGGCAGCAGAGTATGACTTCATTAAAAACCATCCCCTGTCTCAGGGACTGGAAGCAAGGCAAGCCAGCATCAGAGCAGCACATGTCTGAAACTGATAGTAAAATGGGTGATGCCTTAAACTCCACCTCTACACTGTTATTTACATACATATCTTTCATCTGACATAGGCTTCCCCTCCAGCACCTTGAATATATCAGTCCTAAGGAAGAGACTTTAAGTTCAAAGAGTGCCATCCCCAAACCAAAGTAGGGGGTTATCAAGTGAGGTGCGCCAAGCAGTAAGACAAAACATATGCATTTTTAATAGATAGCCTCTCCTCTCCCTGAGGAAGCCAAGAAAAGAGGCTCTGTGAAGCTTCAGCTGAAAACAAGTTCAGTGGATTTATACTCAGGCTGCTATTCACAGAAAAACAAAATTCACAACTCTCATATATATATCTTTGCTAGATGTTTTCCAAACACTCTTCAAAGCACGCCAGCCCCACCCTTGGTGGTCCTGTTGACCAGGTGTACTCACCTCCATGAAGCCTTCAAAAAGAAGAGAGTGAAAAATAATCGTGAAAATAAGATAAAAAAATAAAAAGGCCATAAAAGGGAAACAAAAATCTCAACAGGTCTGTATGGAATTTCAGCAGCACTTTTATTTATTAATGCATATGAAGCTACCGCTGTATTCCAGCTCCCAAAGACAGATCTGTAAGGAATAGGCCACATGCTGATTGACAGCAGCCATAATTCCATACAATGAGACTGTATTAAATTGTTTGATGTGATATGATACTCATCACTTGTAACTGATCAAACACACGGCTGCATCAAACAGTATTACAATACAATCAGGCTGGATATGGTTCCTGCCAAGGCTGTTCATCACATTGCACACTTCTGCATTAAACATATCTATTAATAGCATTGACAAACTACTCCTATCCAGATTTTTTTTTCCCAAAGAATTGCACGATGTGAAATGTGCAAAGAAATCCATGATAATGCTTTGCAGTTCAGGGCAGCATTGCCGTGGCTGAATGCTCCAACATGAAAGGCTTTGCTGATTTGGGGATTTTTATAAGGTAATACCAAAACTTGCAAACCTGTGCCCCAAAACAAAGACCTGGCACTACAGATGCCTTTTACTTTTTCTGTTTTGATTTGGTTTGGTTTTGGTTTTGTTGTTGGATTTTTTTTCTCTTTCCTTCCCAGTTGGAAAATTGACTATTTTTGACCAATATTTTACTTTTGCTGGGTTTGCCCCCACAGGAGAGTTGCTCGAGCCTGTTATCTTGCAGGAAGGAGCTGTGTTTGCTAACACTGACCCTTTTAGAGTAGGGAGACACAAATAAAAGCAGCAAATTCCTTGTCACCACTGCTCCTGCTGCAGACAGCAAGGGTGATATGCCACAGACCATGGGGGACAAGACTCGCTGCAACATGACAACTGTAGGGGCTCTCTCAGATGCAAATTCTTAAATGAGCCTGGGTCTCTAGAGGGCAGAGGTCAGCTGTCCTCAAATCTGTGTGAATGCTAGATTAAGTTTATTAATCTCCCCGCTTTCACTTAAAAACCAAATTATAGGATGGTTAAATGTTAATGCCCGGGGAGCTTGTGAGATGATCAATGCCCTCAGCTACTGCTGCAAGGGGGAACACAAGGTGTTCAGACCACAAAAGGGGGGTATTAGAAGTTAGTGTGATGATGAGGGAATACGTTCTCCTTGTGAATTATGTATGTCATGCCTGGTGCATGTTTTTTTTGCAGTTCTGGCAGCAGCACGGGCACCCTTCAGATGTGGGTGCAGGATCTGCAGTTGTTGGCCCCAAAACAGGTACCGATGGCTGCCCACCTTGATCTCCCAGATATATAACCTCAACCACAACTCTTTATACAGGATTTATACCTGGGCCTGGGTGAGATTTGAAACACCCACCTCCCTGCACCGACCCCAAGTGCCAGGAGCCGCATGAAACCAAGCATGCAATGAACATGGTCTTTAGCAACCTTCGAAACAGCCTCTATCAGTGTATCTCATAAAACTACTCCAGCGTGTAAAAACGAAGTGATGAACGAGCATGAGGGTTCCATATAATTCCTCCCGGACAGGTATGCACATCATAATTGGACAATCTGCGCCCCCCCCCCCCGATTGTGATCTCAGCTTGGGAGACCCAGGATCACATAGCCATGGAAAATAGGAAGTAATATGCAGGAATGCATGCCTGGCTGTCTGAAGCTGGCACCAGGTTTTTTTTCAGTCTGGGGTTGTATACATTTTACATTTATGTTTTTTTTTTTTCCAAATCGCAGTGACAGAAGGTGCCTTTTGTCCTGTTTTTCACTCCTGTAATGTCAGTGCAAGCAGATTAAACTCATCGCACGGTAGCAAATTATCCCTTCTGATGGAGCCAGCTCCACAAAGATTACTTAAGAAAGGTGTGTGAGGCATTTCCTTTTTCTAATTACAAATATTAAAGTCTTTCAAGATAATAAACTGTCTCAGAGAGTTACCTTAAAGACTGGAAAACATACAGGAAAGGCTCCCCCACCCTCATGGGCAGTTTTAGCAGTAACAGCCCGGTGCAGTGTGTATTGCTAAAGAAATGGTAACTTTCTGTCTGGGTGCAGCTAAGTAATTCAACATGAGGCAAGTTAAATGCAACAGTAGAAAGGAAGAAGTCCAAAAAACAAAGTCCCAGACACTTCAGTGCAGTGCACAGTATGCTAAATTGTGGTATTACAGAAATTGCTGAGAGTTTGGCCACAAAACATTTCATACTGCACCAGCATTCTGCCAGGGCTGGGTTCCAGCAAGCCCAGACAGTTCTTGCCTTTCACCTGTGCTTTTTCCCCCCCTTCCTGTTTGTTAACACAAGCCAAAATCTGTATCAGAGAATTACAGCCCTTGTCCTGAATGCACCTCTCCATTTATTAAATCAGCACAACCGAAAAGTCACCACGCACCAGGCAAAGATAACTGCAAATCTGCTCTTACCCTCCCCATACCACCTGAGTGCCGCTATTATTCCTCATCCTTGGGGAAAGGACCCCATATGTGAGTTTCAGAAACCACCTCAGTAACTCCAAGCATCATTATCAATAGTAGGATGAACTGCAGCTGGGATGCACTGAGAAGGCACGGTAATACTCGCCCTAATCTCTGCATTCATCTCACTGGCCCTCGCTAGGAAGTTTAAGTACATTTACTGGGGATTCTTCAGCCCTTGAAAGGTAGGAAGACATCTATGAGGCTTGACGTACTAGCTAATTAACTTGGGTTTGGAAAAAAAAAAATCTTCTTATCTACTTAACTTGGAGACACTCTCTTTGTTTTTAAGCCTGCAGACTACCTTCTCTTTAAAATGCACGTTACGTACCGCTCCGGAGTATGGAATGTATTATTTTTAACGAGGACCTATTTTAACTTGGACCTAAAACTACTAAGATTTGACAGAGGGTGTTTTTTTTTTTTTAAGCTATTTGCAGAATCAGCTGAATGATAGTCTATAGCCTGTGTTTTGCAAGACAGGCTACAAAATCCTCATGCTTTCCTTCTGTCCTTAAAAATCCACGAATGTATGAAGCACTTGAAAATGAAGCCCCAAATGCACCCCTCCTTCTCCCTCCCCCCCAACCCCCCCTTCAAATCTATAAGGAGTTTAAATAAATCTTTCAGGTTTTGTTTCTCAGTCTCTGGAAGTGGGGAATATTGAGGCTGGGAGAAAGTGATTGAATTCGTGCCTGCAGTGGTTGGGGCACGTGAGTGTTTCCTGCAGCTCCTCTGACAGGAACACAGACACGAGCAACTCCTGTAACATCCCTGCTCGGAATTAAACCACGCTAAAATTTCCTGAGAACTGCACAGAGCAATTTTAAATCCTCACCATATTCCTCACAGATAGAACAGTGGCATGATTGACCAAGCTTTTTTTTTTTTCCTTCTTCTTTTTTAAAGTACACATATGATGATGCATCATAGTTATAAACAGATGGTATTTGGCCTCCTTCCTATTCTCAACATTTGGAATTCCTAAACTATGTGAATTAAACAATAATATTTTATAAACATACAAGGGATTTTGCTCACTGCTTTGTTAACATAGAAATTATACAATGCTGGCATTTATTTAAATTTTAAAAAGTAAACAAGAGTGTGTATTGAATTAAAGCAAACTAAAATCAACAGAGAGAAATATGTTCTGCCGCACATTACCTACAACGGCACGGGCCTTTTTCGGGGAGACATAATGGGATGAAGCACAAATTGTAGCTTAGACAGTCTGATCCTTTGTGCTCGAAAGGCTCATTTAACACCTCGCTGTAAACAACGGATATTTATACCATAATTGGCCAGTTGACCATCAGTTGTTCATTTACTCCGTAACCTGCTATTATGGAGTTAAAAGAAGTTCCTTTCTGTTGGCTTTTCAAGGAGTGAAAGTGTGTTTGCAATTTTAGTACCAACTGGATTCAGTCTAACACTTGTACTTAGTATGAGAAACATTTTCATAATACCAAAATTTGGGGGAATAAGAGTATTCCTGCCAGGAAGGGAAGAAGAAAGTATTGGTTCTTAAAAGAAGAATTCTGTTTGCTTGGTTTCCTCTTTCCTTTCCATTTTAACCCGTTTTTAGGCTCCTCTCGAGCTGTGCAAAATTGAGAAGCACTTAGGTTTTAATCACTATTCCCAGGTCTGCAAAGAGGTTCTGTGATGAATAAATAATGAATCCGAGATTTTAATCAGTGTTATGATTTTTGAAAAGGCTAATTATCATTGTTTACAGACATGCCTTTCCGACGTATTTCCTTGTTTTGCCTTCAAAGCTCCAAGGGTTAAGCCCCTCGCACGCATCCCTCCCATCCCTCCCCAGCGCCGCGCTCCTTGCCCGGGATTTCTTGCGGGGTTTGGGGGTATTTTTTTTTTGTTGTTCGTTTGGTGTCTTTTGGGGTTGAGTTTTTATTGGAGGAACCGTAGGAGAGATGGAGCCGGGCACCCGGAGGCGCGCAGGGCTGGGGGAAAGCTGCGCACCCGAGCAGCCGCTCCGCACCCGCGGAAAACCACTGCGGGGGTGGGGGAGGCTCTTTCTCTTTGCCGTCCGCGTACAGAAATGCTACAAAAGCATCTTATTTGCAAAACAGTATCTTTATTATCGGTAATATCGATGGCAAAAAGTGGCGGGCAGCGTGTCCGTCCCCTCCTTCCCGGGGACGCTGCGCTCCGCTCCGCCCGCAGCGCTGTGCTGGGATGCGCCGGGATGCGCGGAGCGCTCCGCGGGGCCGCCCCGCAGCGATCGCCCCCGGCTCACGCCTATCGCATTATTATTGCTGTATTTTTACTATTTATAATTTTTATCATTATAGCTGCCACTGGCCCCGTTTAACCTGCTTTTGCCCACACCTCCATCCCCTCGGCCGTTCATCGGGATGGCAGAACCTTTTTCCTCGGGTGGAATATTGGGTGCCAGGGTCCCGATTCCCCCCCAATCTCATCCCCGGCGTGTCCCCTCCCGGCCTCCCCCGCAGCCGCCGCCGCTCCCGGGTCCCGCCGCCTCCTCCCGCTCCGCTCCCGCTGCTGCTTCCACGGAGAGCGGGGGGGATAACTCCCGGCCCCTACAGCACTTGATTATCAGTTTTCAGCAACAGCTGTGTATCTCCGCTAAGAATCTAAAGAAATATCAGAAGATCAGGCAGCGATGCTATTTATTACCCTATAATTAAAGTTCTATCAGTGTTTCTATTATAAAGCCTGATTTGCAAGGGTTGGTAACTCAGAGGCAAAATTTTCCTGCAAGATGAAGCCTCGCTGAGAAGTATTTCAGTTAAATAAGGTTAGCCTGTTAGAAGGCAAAATCCTCAAGGACTTTCATTAAGGTGCTCGTTTATATCCACAAATAAATTGCCAAGTCCCCCAAATCAAAGATGCATAAGAGGAAAACATTTTAATTTTTTAATTTTTTTTTCCCCCAAAAAATCAAGGATTCATGGAAAGGTTTTAATATAATTCTCTAGGAAATTATTCCCATGAAAACAATTTGTTTGAAAGAAAATGCCCTCTGGTCTTTTCCACACAAACTAGTCTTGGGCTAGTACATGAGAACCCAACTTAAAAGTGACTATGAGCAGAAAGGAGGTTGGTTAATTATTTTCAACTGTCCTTTCTGGAATAAAAACCAGAGTAAACAGCTTGAACAGGGAAAGGTGAATTTAATTTTCAAGGCCCTTTAACTTTTAATAATCTGAGGAACAAGATGGGAGGTACATTCTACCCTCCCAGTTATCCTGATATAAATTCATTCAAGATTTATATTGGTGTAATAGAGAAGCAGAATTTGCTCCGTGATTTCTAATGAACTGCTGGCTCGGTCTTTAAAAACGCAATTAGAAAAATCTAACCTCCTAATTCAGAACAGCTTTCAGCTGAGGCAGAGGTCTCGTTGCTGCTAACAGGGATGGAAGCCGGTCTGTGCCACGGCTCCTCGCCGTGCCTGCAGCACCGGAGTGGGGTAGGAAGGCTGGAAACGGTTTGCCACAGAATTCCCTAGTTGTTTTAGGATTTTCTTTTCCATTATCCGGGAAAAGGCAATTCTCATGTAGAATAAACCTGTGTTTCCTGTGATCTCAAATGCTAAGACAAAAGGATTGTAGGATTAGGTGCCTGGCCTGTCACTGATGCAGGAGGAGCTGTCTGGTCGGGGCACTGCCTGGCAAGGCTGGCACAAGTCAGGAAAACCCGGCTTTGACTCTGCACTGAAACTTGTATCAAAGCACTCAGCGTTGCTGTGTCAACACAGGTAAAACATCAATAAAAATGAAAGTAAGTCAAGGTCTAATTCTGCTGCTTTACTCATAGGATTAGGTCTCTGCATTCACCGCTTACTCATGTGCGTAGGAACAACGGGACCGAGATCCCAATTTGCCTCTCTGACCTTTTGAAGTGAAGGGTTTAAATGAAGCAGTGCAGGGCAACAGTCTCCTTTGCTTTGCTGAAACTGCCAGGCAAAACTCTGCAGGCTGTTTCAGTTTGCAGCAGGTTGCTGGAGGACAGTAGGGGAAGAATCTACCTGGAAGCCCCACATCTCTCTCTTGAATTAGGCCAGCATGGCCCCCAACACAAGGCCAACCTGCAGGTTCTAGGAGGTGCGGTAAGGACATG